ATTCTTATGGTGAGGACGAGAGTAAAAGCACGAAGGGTGATGCCGTGCACTTGTTTGATTTCTGATTCTTGTTGATAATTGAATTATTGTGTTCCTTATGTTTACCTGTTGTTTTTCTGTTATTATTTGATGTTTCCCCGCAGCATGTTTCCCCCTCCCCTCCTTAACTTTACATTCCTGCTTTTATTTTCCGTTGTATATGATTTAACTGCACAGGTTTATTTGGTAGTCTGGTCCTATCCTCGTCACTAGTTCGCCGAGGTTAAGCTAGGTACTTACCAGCACATGGGGTCGGTTGTGCTGATAATACACTCTGCACTTTGTGCAGATCCCGGAGCAGCAGCTTTCCGACCTTAGCTTTGGGGTTGCTGCCTTCAGTCCATTTAGAGATCCGAGGTAGTCCTGCAGGCGTCCGCAGGCCTTGGCGTCTCCTTCTATCCTTTCATCCTGTTTCATTTATGTATTTCCGAGACAGTATTGTACTTATTTTTGGACCCTTTATTTGTAGTATTCCTAGACCGTCTGCGAAATTGTGACACCAGTTCTAAGTAGTCTTTGTTTAAGAAATTGTATTGGAAATATTTAAACTGTTTTATTTTGTTCTTCCGCTTGTTTAAATTTCGCTGTTTATATAATGTTGGTTCATAGTTGTTAAAGGATTGAAAATGGGAAAAAGGTTAATAGTTCAAACGGTTGGCTTGCCTAGCTTTCACTAGTAGGCGCCATCACGACTCCCGAGGGTGGGACATCCGGGTCGTGACAAAAGCGAATAATAGAGATACATACCTTTCGTCTTCAAGCTTTTGAGTATTGCCCAAAATGTTTCATGTGCAGAAGTGGCCTCAAAGTTAAATAACTATCTTGGTCTTGAGTGAAGCATTAGTATTCTTACCAAGAAATTACTATTACACACATAATTCACTTCAAGAATAATCTAAGACGCATATAGGCATGAGTCAAGTTCATACGATATCAATATAATCACATGCTTTCTTGTCCTAATATCTTATGCAAATGACATGGCTCATGCAAGACATGTACTCAGGCTATTTAAAGTCTCTAAGTCATGGATAAAAAATAATACCAAATAAAATAACAATGTGATGTAGCTAGTGGACTCGAAGTGCATATAGATGGCTAATATGCATATACTAGGTTATACTTTACTAAACCAATAGCTGAATATATGCAGCGAGAAGAACTTGAATAAACCTTAGTGATACCAGTCACTCTTTTAGATCATACGTCGTATTTCATTCATCCTCTGTGAATATGTAAGAACTATGAAGCATGTTCCTCGACCAGCCAATATACAAACATCTTTAATCCTTTTTATGGCTAGACTAAGAAATTCCTGCAAAACAAATTAGTTTGTTTTTGGTACCCAAACCTTTTTGGGTCCTTCATGGTTAGTAGCTTGTATAATTGGAGATACATGTAACTGTTTAGGTCTCCAAATAAATTTTGATCTATCATGACTTTTTGCATAACTACATGCAAATGCCTTATGTCTAAAATTACCACAGTAGTGAGATTTAACAAAAGAAGTAGAGTATTTACCAGCAGGTGCCTTAGTCGACTTGACGCTTTCCTGAGCCGGCTTGTTTGAAGTAGGGCATCTACTAGTAGATCCCTAGTCAGTCAACTTGGAGTTATTAAGAAAATGAGCCCGCTTGTTAGGTCGATCAAAGTGGTGACGGGAAGATAAGTGCAAACTATTCATTTGTTTGCGATGTTCCACATTTTCTTATTGAAGTAAGTCATTTTCAACCTGATATTCTTCGAGTAGAATATCCCACTCTTCCTTTTCCTTTTTCAACTTGTTATATTCTTCAAGTTGGGTCTCCAGGTTTTTCTTCTCGCGTTTAGTCTTCATGAGCTCATCAAGAATTTTTCTCATATCTTCTAAAGCCTGTTCTACGATACTTTGAAGTTCATTACATTTATCACAATCATGAAATCTTACCTCACTTGTTTCACTTGGGGCCATGATGCAGTTGCTTGTAGATTCCTCATGATCGTTGTCTGATATATCTTCATCACTCCAGATATCAAAAGATTTTCTTTTCTCACTTGTCTCACTACGTGCCATGAAACAAAGGTTGGAAACTCCATTATGATTTTTATCTGGCATATATTCATCACTCCATACGCTGGATTCGATTGCCCTTAGATAGTTTCCTTTTTAGTTCTGGACAGTTGGCTTGGATGTGACCATAATTTCCACATTTGTAGCACTTTCTGTCATTGTTTTTCTGCTCACTTATTTCATTACCTTTTCTAGAACTTGAATTGACTCTACCATTTTTCTTTCTTCTTCGCGTCGTGTTAGAGACAACTCTAGAAAATAATGCAATATCATCTTCATGTTTGTCTCCTTCTTCTTCGTCTTCACTTTCAGACTCAGCAATAGTTGATTTAGAAACAACACTCTTTTTCTTCTCTTCATGTCCATGCTTTCTGAGATGGGTTTGCTCAAAAGCTATAAGGTCTCCACGAAGTTCATCATATGATAGTTTGTCGAGATCTCCGTATTCAAGAGCAACAACTTTTGGTTGCCATAAGATGGGTAAACTTCTTAGAATCTTTCTGACTTGTTCATCACTTGAATATGGTCTTCCAAAGGATTCTAGATCTCCAGCTATTTTGCTAAATTGGCCAAACATGTCTTTAATGGATTCATCTTCCTTCATTTGAAACAACTCATAATCACGAATCAGACGGTTTATCCTTGTCTCTTTTACTTTACTGGTACCTTCATAAGTAACTTCAAGTTTATCCCACATTTCTTTGGCTGTGTCACAACTTGATATTTTCTCAAATTCTTCTCCCCTTATAGAATTGTATAATAGATTTTTTGCCTTTGAATTTATCTGCACAATCTCCATATGCTCATCAGTATAATCATCAATATCAAGGGGTTCAGTAGATACTTGTCCTTCTGGTTTCTTTTTTTATTTGGACTGTAGGAGAGGAAAGTCACCCTTCTTGATGACTCGCCATACTTTGACATCATAAGATTTGATGAAAGTTTCCATTCGAGCTTTCCAGTGAGTGTAATACTGTCCATTGAAGTATGGTGGTCTTAATGCAGAAGTCCCCTCTTAGAGTAAGGCTCCAATAACTGTGTGTGCTGGCATGATCTTTTCTCACTTGCTGTTAAGCAAAAGTAAAAAGGTGAGACATGCTCTGATACCAATTGAAAGTACAAGAGGGGGGTGAATTGTAGCATTTTTAAATTTCTAGTCGACTACTCTTCAGGCCTAGTCGACTTATGCGGAGACAGCCTGCACAGAGCTGTTAGTTCTTTCGATTTAAACAAGTATTAATCACAATAAACAGTAAAGGAACAGAATATAATACGAGAGCGGTAAAGTAAATGACACCAGGAATTTTATACTGGTTCGGAACCAATTTGGTATCCTAATCCAGTCCTCTTGGGTTGCAAGAGTGTTATCTTTTATAGCTCTTTGTGAATTGAATTGAGTAGAGCCTTTGTGATTTTCAGCTATCACCACCGACGCTGACAGGGTTGGTTTTCACTCGCTCACCAACAACAACCCTTTGGTTTTCACTCGCTCACCAAAGAAACGGACAATGACACAATCTCTAGGACACACTGCCTCTCCAATATTTTTCTGTTTCTCTTCTCTCTTTTGGGCACACAATAAATCTACTAAAGTGGATTACAATGCTTGTTAAGAGTAGAATAATGAACTTGTAGTTGGATAGACAATTGTATAGAAGGCTGCGTGCTTTTCTTCTTTTTTAGAAGCGCCTATTTATATCCTTTTCAACTTGTTCTAGCTATTTCATGACCCAAGGGAATTTTGAATATTCTCGCGATCTTCGTTGCATCCATTATTTCCTTCTATCTTGGAGTAATATCTGTTTTCATATCTATCCTTGATATAAATTTGGTCACGCCATGAGATCCTCCTTCGAACCAATATGATTTGTGGCTTTTTGTCCAAGGTTAGATTGCTTCTTATTGACTTGGACAGAATATAGTCTTTGTCTTTCTTGAAATCCTTTCCTTGTGGGTCTCACCTTAATTGCAGGACATGATAATCTTTCTTTTCTGTCATTTCCAAACATGGCCACTAAGTCTTTGAATATTGATATTCTTTTGTGCACCTGCTATTCTTTTCCTTAATAATTGTAGGTGAGAATCTTTCCTTAATAGCTTCTGATAGTCTTAGATAGATTGGCAAGGCTCCTTGTATCTTGACAGATGGCAAATAGATATTCCTTGATTTGTTTCCCTGTCTGAAATCTTCAGCGGCTTATTTTTCTTCTACAAACTGTGGTGAATATCCTTTTTCAATTTACTTTCCTTGCTAACTAATATTCTCTTTAGTTGTCCAAAGTTCTTTCCATAATATAGAATATACTATACCCATGATATACTTTCTTTCCATAAAAATATATCTTCCTTGGTCTTGTAGTATCTCTTCCATATAGTATCTTCCTTCCACAAAATAATAGATCTTCTCCACGATTTTAGCAACTTTCCCTTCAAGATGTTGAAAGACTTTCCATCCATAATTTCCGTAGATTCTTTTTCTAATATTGTAGTGAGCCATTCGATATTTGAAATTTGACTTTCAAATATTATTCTTTTTATAACGCTTGAAGATTAAATCTCTGAAAATGATCTTCCTTGATAAATTCATCACATGATATTCTCTTTCCTATATTTGTTTGGATCTTTACCAGCATCTTCTTTCTTGAATAAACCTGTACAAAAATAATATTACCACAAGTAAATGTTCTTTGATTTATATTGGATTGTTATCATCAAAACTAATACGTGAAACCTTGAAGCTAACAGAGAAGTCAAAGGATGATTTCGACACAGATCGACGGTCTTCAGAGGTCGATTTTTGCCCTATGAAAGGGCTGAAGGATGCGGTAGAGGTTTCCGATCTGCGGATAGATTTGCAACTGATAGGAGAGTTGATCGTGGCCGGAATAATAGATCACTTCAGGACAAGGAGATGCCATGGTCCCGGGACTCCGCCTACCCCAGTCTTTCCGAGTACAACTTCAACGTCAGCGTAGTGGAGCTAGTATCGGCTATGAGGAACATTAAGGAAGCACGGTTCCCGAAGCCAATGAGATCCGATCCCATTCAAAGGGATCCTAATTTATGGTGCGAATACCATGGGACCAACAGCCACAGGACAGGGGATTGTCGGCATCTGCGCGAGGAGGTGGTATATTGCTGAAAAACGTCCATCTTAGAGAAGTCTTGAGTGATCGGGCTAAAAACCATTACGGCCACAATTGTGATAACGCGGAACCTTCAAAAGCAGGTGAAGATCCCCCACGTTTGACGATCAACATGAATTTAGGGGGGAAATGAGATTAATGGTGTGACATTTTCGGCGACAAAAAAGACGAAGGTGTCAATGACCCACAGCAAGAGACTTCGGGAAGTCGCTGAGGACGACATTACTTTCACGGAGGAAGACACAGATGGACTACTGCAGCCACACAATGATGCATTGGTAATCTCTTTAAATGTCTTAGATTTTAAAATTAAACGTGTTTTGGTGGACCCAGGAAGTTCGGCCAATATTATCCAGTGGAGAGTGCTGGAGCAAGCCAAGCTCACCGGAAGTATCATTCCGGCCACAAAACTACTCGCCGGATTCAACCTAGCAAGTGTGACGACCCGGGGAGAGATCCTACTGCCCACGAATGCTGAGGGGGTGATGAAGACGACCCTTTTTAGGTAGTGGATGGCGATATGGGCTATAATATATACTGGGGAGGCCTTGATTGTACGAGATGAAGGTTGTTCCATCAACATCAATTGCTAAAGTTTCCCAACTCCCAAGGGAATTAAACAAATAAGAGGTGACCAACCGACAACAAGGGAGATGAACGCAAGCTCAGTTTCCAGTAGCAAAGGAAATGAGCATGCAACATAGCAATTACAAGAACCGACGCCTGCTCCAGTGCCGAACGAAGCCAACCAGGAGGAGGAGTTGTCGAAATCATATCAGGTACAAAGATATTTTTAGGTACCAGAAGAAACGGACGCAACAAAGTCCACAGCGGAAGAACTTGAGCAAGTCGCGTTGTTTGAAAAGTTCTTGGAGAGGAAGTTCCACTTGGGACGGGACTAAACCCCAAGCTCAGGTCAGGATTTATAAAAAATTTTAAATTTAACGTTGACCATTTTGCATGGTCGCATGCGGATATGACAGGTATCCCGCTGTAAGTGGTGTGCTTAAACTGAGCTTACATCCTAACATCCCTCCGGTAAGGCAGAAAAAATGTCCTATTGCCGAGGTCAGAAAGTAATTCATCAAAGAAGAGGTAACTCGTTTGCTCGATATTGGTTCAATCCGAGAGGTAAAGTACCCTGACTGGCTAGCTAACAAGTAGTAGTTCCAAAGAAGAATAACAAATTTTGCATGTGCGTAGACTATAAGGATCTAAATAAGGTGTGCCTAAAAGACTCGTTCCCATTGCCAAACATTGATCAAATTATTGATGCGACGGCTGGGCATGAGTTAATGAGTTTTCTCGATGCTTACTTCGGGTACAACCAAATCAAGATAGACCCGGAGGATCAGGAAAAAACTTCGTTCATAACGAACTTCGGCACATATTGTTATAATATGATGCCTTTCGGGCTAAAAAATGCCGGAGCCACTTATCAACGGCTCGTAAAAAAATTATTTGAAAAGCAAATACGAAAAACCATGGAAGTTTACATAGATGATATGTTGGTTATGTCTTTGAATGAAGGTGATCATCTTAAATACTTGCAAGAAAACTTTGACATCCTAAGAAAGCACAACACGAAGCTTAACCCCGAGAAGAGTGCGTTCAGAGTCAACTCTGGTGAGTTCTTAGGATTCTGGTATCGCAACGGGCGATCGAAGTTAACCCCGACAAAATTAAAGTCATCGAAGACATCTCTGACCAGCTATCAAGCGTGAAAGAGGTTCAAAGGTTGACAAGAAGACTGGCCGCTTAAAGCAAATTCATTTCACGGTCTTTGAAAAACTGCCATCACTTCTTTTCGCTCCTCACAAAGAAGAACAACCACGAATGGACTCCGCAATGTCAGCAGGCCTTGAAGGATTTGAAAAGGTATTTGTCGAGTCCTCCACCACTGTCAAACCCGAAGAAGGCGATCAGCTGCTGATCTACTTAGCAGTTTCGGAGGTAGTGGTAAGTGCCACTTTAGTCCATGAGGACGAAGGTACTCTGCTATCTATTGTGTAACAAAATTCTAACGGGCGCAGAAACTCACTATCCACATCTGGAAAAAACTGGCCTCGACTCTCGTAGTTGCTGCTCGAAAGCTTAGGCCTTATTTCCAATGCCATCCAATAGCCGTGGTGACCACTTTTCCCCTGTGGAATATTCTTCACAAACCTGAACTTTCAGGTAGGCTGGCCAAGTGGGCCATCAAAATGAGTGAATTTGACATCGAGTATAAACCTAGGACTACGATCAAGTCACAAGTTTTGGCCGACTTTGTGGCCGGTTTCAGTCCAGCACCTTTGGCTACCAAAGATGCAGTAATGTTGTTAGAATCGGCATCAGGAGTTTGGACTCTGTTCACAAATGGACCCTCCAATGTGAAGGGTCGGGGCTCGGGTAATGCTAATCACACCCTCAGGAGAAACCCTATGGCAGGCCATACGAACTGTTCCTCTTACAAACAATAAAGTAGAGTACGAAGCTTTGATTGTAGGAGTTGAGCTGGCCCGGGGACTGGACTCAAAGTCATAGAAATCAAATGCGGCTTCTAATTGGTAGTAAATCAAGTCTACGAGATCTTTGAAGCCAAAGAGGATGCATGCAGCAATATGTAATAAAAGTCCAGGCTATACTCGCACGGTCCAAGGAATGGTCGATTACCCACGTATCGAGAGAAGAAAACACGAAGGCAGACAACATTAGACAATTTGGGATTGTCTACGAAAGTGGAGGGATCGGATTTCGGTATGGTCGTGCAGCTTATGCATTAGGTATTAGACGCAGACAACTATTACGAAGTAAATGCAACTAATTTGGTCTGGGACTAGCGAAAAGAGATCATTGACTATCTCGAGCACGGAAAATTACCTGAAGATCCCAAGTCATCTCGGGCACTGCGCACTAAAATAGCTCGATACAGCTTCAAGGGAGGTCAATTGTATAGAAGATCCTTCCAAGACCCGTTGGCCCGATGTCTGGGAGCTTCCGAAGCCAACTATGTCATGCACGAAGTCCATGAAGGGATCTGTGGAAATCACTCGGGCGCGGATTCCTTAGTGTTAAAATTAATTAGGGCAGGATACAACTGGCCTCGGATAGAACAAGACGTCAAGGCTTATGCTCAGAAATGTGATAAATGTCAATGCCACGCACCATTGCTACATCAACCGGTAGAGCTATTACATTTAGTTTTATCGCCATGGCCGTTCATGAAGTAGGGGAAGGATATAGTCGGTCTGTTGCCGCCAGCCCCCGGTAAGGTAAGATTTCTTTTGATTTTGACTGACTATTTTTCTAAGTGGGTTGAAGCAGGTCCTTACCAGAAGATCTGCGAATGCGAAGTGGTAGATTCCTTGGGAAAATATAATTTGAGGATTTGGGATACCAAAAGAGATAGACTGGCGATAACGGGCCACAATTTATAGGTTAAGGTAACTAAATTCCTTAAAGATTTGAAAAATAAAAAGGATCATATCGTCACCTAATCACCCGAGCGCAAACGGTCAAGCACAATCAACAAGCAAAGTGATTATCCAAAATCTCAAAAAGAGATTGGAAGCAGCCAAAGGTAAATGGCTCGAAAGAGCTACTAGGAGTGCTATAGGCGTATCAAACAATGGCTAAATCAAGAAGGGGGAAACTCCTTTCTCTCTTGTATACGGAGCAGAAGCCTTGATCCCGGTGGAACTAGGGGAACCTACCTTGAGATATTTCCGGGCGGATGAAAAAACAAACAATGAAGCAATGTTAGTCAAATTGGAGCTGCTCGACGAACGCAGGGACTTGGCGCATATAAGGATGGCAGCCCAAAAGCAAAGAATGGAAAGGTATTACAATCGAAGAGCCAACATCCGTTATTTCAAAGTAGGAGACTTGATTTTAAGGAGTAACTCAGAACACCCGGGAGCTCAACGCAGGGAAGCTGGGTCCGACGTGGGAAGGACCTTACCGTGTTTCAGTTGTCGCTAGGAAAGGGTCATATGAATTGGAAAATCAAGACGGAGTAAATTTGCCAAGCAACTGGAATGTGGCACACCTCAAAAGGTACTATTGTTGACTAACATCGCCTATACTGAAAGTATGTGCTGCACTCTTTTTCCCTTCGTCCTATTTTTGTCCCAATTGAGTTTTTCTAGCAAGGTTTTTAACGAGGTAACAACGGAAAGCATACTATGAAGGAAGCTTCGTCAGCGGAAATAAGACCTTAGATGACAAGGCACGCAGACAACGGATCACTATGGAGAGGTAAGATAATCTTTTGCTTGGTAGCAAAGTTCCTACCGGAAAGTAAAATTTGCTATCGTGTCAAGAGTTACCCGACCGTTCACGAGTGAAAGCCACTGTAGGGTTGTTAGATAGTCTTTGGCTCGAACAAAGTTCCTAAGGGGAAGTGAAACTTGCTATCGAACTAAAGATTATCTAACCATTCACTAGTGGAATCTTCAAAGAAGCAAGACTTCCAGTGTTCAAATTCGCATTGTTCGCATTTGAACACTGGGGGGAATGATATGAGAATACGGCAACTATGATTGCCACATCGACCGGGAATATGAAACCCGAAACCATAGTTGTATCATCGGGATGGGGGACTGTGCGACCAGCCCCATAGAAATAAGTTGTACAAGTTAGTCACAAGTAATGACAATTTCTTTTTAGCACAACGAATGCTTATATACTTTTGAAAATGGAAGGAATAAAATAAAGTCATTTTATTTTTATCTTGTTTCTTGTCCTATCGAAGAATTAATTTTATCACTTGAAAGTTAAACAAGTACTTCAGATGCTAGTGCCATAATGAACAGGAGATGTCCTCTTAAAGTGCACCGTAGACATAAGAGGGCCCTCTCTTATAAAACCGTCACGGTAAAGGGTTGATTCCGGCTTATGCCCGAAATCCAAATTCTCTCAGGGAAAAATACACCCGAAGCCTTGCATAATTTGATGCAAACAGAAAAACTTGCGCAATACTTAAACGAAAAGAACGCAAAAAGAAAAATTTGCACAATACTTAAATAAAAAAATATTTCTATTCACAGCAAGTGTGCCAAGCAGCACAAATACAAAGGCATGGAATAGAAAATAAAGCAAAAATCTGAATATTGCACCCCCGAAATCCGAAGGAAGAGAAGCATTTGCAATCCCGGGAGAAGTAGGTGGATCAGCCGCCAGCTCAATATCTTGGCCTTCACCATCTTGGCCTTCAACATCATCCCATTCCGGTTCTTCTTTAGTTCCCAAGAACTCGGAACCGGAACCAGAAGAGTTAGTAGCATCAGGTTGGACCAGGAGACCCCGTCAGGCAGTTTACTCCAGCTCACAAACCTTAACGATTTCGGCATCAAAGTCAATGACGCCCGATTTGGCCTCTCCCAAGGTTTTTCTCCTCATGCTATACATAGAATGTGTTTTTTCAACAATGAAGTAAGCCCCTCGACGCTGAAGTTCTTCATTAAGACAGTCAACCTCAGTTGAAAGGATATTTCGCTCGGATCTAATGGCCCGGAGGCTGACATCA